CCTGATTCCCCATAAATAAAGTCATTTGTGTAGTTTTTTAACACCCATTATTTTCTTACAAAATTGCTAATGCACCCTTTCAATTGATAAATCATTGACAAAACCACACACTTCGCTACAATAATTTAAAAGCGGAGACACGAGTTTATCAAATAATTCTAATTTATGTTTTGGTTGTAAATAAGTAAATTTGTATAAATATTTATTGAGCGTAAAACAACTTTTCGAGCTTGGCCTGCTATAGTATTGTGGGCGGTACTTAATGAACCTCTGCTTGTGAAAAGCAACAATTAAATAACAAAATTATTCCAAATCAGAATAGACTTCCATTGTATGAAAATTGTAAATTTTATGGTTATATTCCACCCTTTTAAAAATCCTAATTTTTGTTTTAGAAACATTGACTGTCATTTTCCACAGCTTACAATACTTGTGAAATAAATTAATACTTTTTGGAGTTTTTCAAGTGAATTTGTGAATATAACAATATCGTCTGCGTATATTAATAAGAATATTTTAAACATGTTTACATCTAAGCCAGTCATATCACCATCTATACAAAATTATTCAAGGTCATTTATGAACATAGACAATAAAAAAGGAGATAGACATTCTCATTGCCTACTACTCGTGAATATGTGTATTCCTCAATGCTTAATTGTTGATTTTACGGACTCAAAAATAGATTTTACAATATCAAACATCTTTCCTCGTAAATCTTGTTGTATCAATTTGTACAACAGATTATCTTTAACAATATAGTCAAATTTATTACTTAAATCTACAAATAAAGTTGCTTTCCTTGATTGAACAAGTGTGACAATAATCAATTTAATTCATATATATATTATCAACTGTACTCATCTTTGATCTAATCTGCTTTTGCTTCTGTATAAACATTGTAATTTTCTGCCCATATTATTAATAATACGGGTGAAACGTTTAGCGGAACAGCTTAAAAGTGTAATACCAAGATAATGGTTACAAAAATAAACAATAACTTATCTTAATTTATCTCATATTTATACCCAAAGTAATTTATAAATAAAAGAGTTTTACTGTAATATCTACGAATACCTACATTTCAATATCGAGTTATGTTTGTGAATAATTATTTTTATCACATATTTTTCACTGATTTATTGTTACAGCGTTACTATGTAATGTGAAAAAAAGTAATTTTCTTAGTTTTTATAAACAGATAATACAAAACTGTGTTATAGAAGCTTTTAGAAAATAACGTCATACAAATTTCCTTCCACGTCATTTCATTATCTTTGCTTTTAAGACAAAACATTCTTATATCGGGTATTAACCGAAATGCAGAACAGCAAATTTGGCTGGGGGGGGGGGTTAAAGTAATATACAGTTAATAAAGTAGTATTCATAACAAGCATTAAAATTTAGGTTTGAATAAAAAACATGTTTACCTTTGTACATTTTCTTCCATAAAAATACGTGTACATACATTGTAATTTCTATTATCAACTTAAACAATTTGTATCAAATGGTTTTATTTGCTTTGATAATTTTACTGAATAATCTTTTATCAAATTTTTGATTGAATGCTTACTGGATTATTAATGTTAACATGTACAAAATTGTAAATACGAATTCATGTGTGATTCTTAGTATTTTGCTATTGTAAATACATTGGTATTTCATAATAGAAAGACTTAATCTAAAAAAGGATTTTGCGCTCGTAGTACCAATCCTTGCGTATGGATACTTGTCTTTTTGTGCATTTGTCATCTTACTGCTGGCTGTGTGTAACAATTAGCAATCGTGACTTCATTGAATTAGAGTCAAACAGAACGTAAAGCTCGGTAATATTAATTGCAACAATGATGATCATTTCTACCACAGAGTGCACGTTGAATTATACCGATTTGCCAATACAATTAAACATACGGATGCAATTATGAAAACAATAAATAACTTGACATGGTCAATATAAGAATGTTTTAATGTATTTAATCCACGTTTAGACACTTTAATATGTCACATGAAATTTTCTATTTTTTACGATTGAAGTATTTCTAATGAATTGTTACATATTTTTATTTTGGTAAATCGGCTTTAAAAGACTTTTACAGATAAGCCAACCTACTTCAAGAAAATCAAACTTGACAAAAACATGAACTAAGATTTTGAAGAAAAGTCAAAAGATTAAAGATTCAAGTTATAATTTCCATGTTATAAAAACATCGCAGAGAAGGACAGGAAGGTGATAATCGGCCGCAAAACGAATAGTGGTCCCGAGGGCTTCAACCCTAGAACATAATACATTTCAGGGCCGATTATCAACCCATCTATGATGTGTATTAATGTCTTTAATACACTTGTAAGATCTTACAGAATCATTTTTTTTAAATTACTTTGATATTATTTTACGTTGAAATTCCTGTCTCTATAGATTTCTACTGTACATTGACTTCTACAGAGTTGCTTCACTTATGTGTATAGAAAGTCCACTTAAAATAGGATGCACGATTTATTTTCTAGGGTTGAAATTGTAGTACTTAGTCTACAATATTGTTTCTTTAAATTTCAATAATACATTCTACCAATTACGCTTAAGTTCCCGTCATTAAATCAAACAATTCGTCCTTAAAATCTACTTTCACTTTTACAGTTTGACGTGACGTAAAATGTGATGTCATTGTTTAAGTTTTTGCACAAACTCGTTTTCAGCGGTGCCGCCTGACACTCATAATCAGTTGAATTAATTGGCAATTTCGATTCTATATATAATAACAAATGTATTTAGTAAGATTAATTAATTGATTTTAAAGTATTGTTCACCATGATTTTACTGCGGTGGCTAAGGAAATAAGTGCTTCTTTGTATTGAACATTGGATGAAAGAGCCGTATGCAATTTAAAATTACTTCAAATTCACTTCACAATATCTTGATTTTAAATACATATTTAAATTTTGACTAAAATACGCATAAATCTGTAGGCATTCGGCTTAAAGTTAAATCGTTTTATAAATCTTAAAGAACAGTTTTAATTATTTCATTTTTTTTATCTTCAAATTCACTTCATAATATCTTGATTTTAAATACATATTCAAATTTTGATTAAAATACGCATAAATCTGTAGGCATTCGGCTTTAAGTTAAACCGTTTTATAAATCTTAAAGAACAGTATTAATTATTTCATTTTTTTATCTTCAAATTCACTTTATAATATCTTGATTTTAAATACATATTCAAATTTTGATGAAAATACGTATAAATCTGTAAGCATTCGGCTTTAAGTTAACCGTTTTATAAATATTAAAGAACAGTTTTACTTATTTCATTTTTTATCTTACTTTAGTAAATGTGGTAACAAACAACCAGAATTTTTGAAATGAAAAGAAACAAAACCAGGGAAAAGTATTTTTGAGAACAAAATGGGATAATTTCAACAGGATTGTCACATTTGATTTAACAAAAAAAAAAAAGAATGAAAGAAAATCGGCCATATTTGTTAGCTGTCAAAGGGGTATTTTGATATCTTGATTATAATTATTATCAGGATCGTTTCTAAACATTTGTAGACAAAAAGAAAGTTGACCATCCAGATTCGGTAATACATAATGAATTAAGGTTGTAAAACTACACAATTTTCACTAATTAAACGCTAAAAAGTACATAAATATGCATAATAATAAATATATATAATCTGAATTCAAGAATTTTCAATAAAATTTAAAATAAAACCATAGTTTGACCAGACAAAATGAATAAAAATGTACAAAAAAGAAGACTCCCTGTTGGGCTTGAACCCATAGCCAATGCAGTATCCTCATGAAATGAATACACGTCAGAAAGGATGTTCTGCGCCTCTATAATAGCTTATTACTTTCGTTCAAATTGATAAGTTACTTCACAAAATTGCAGGGAAAAGAAATAGAAAAAACACTTTATATTATTCAACTCTGCAGTGTTATATTTTGTTTTAAAAAGTTACAAATAGCATAAAATAAACTCAAAATGAATCAGTGACAGATATAATTAATTATTTTAAACCATTTTACGTACAGTAAAATACATAGAAACCAGTCATTTGATTATTCATCACAACTGCGAAACATAAATGGTTTATTGTCTTAAGGTAAAACTATTCATATTTTAAACTACCTGTTACAGTTGCCAAACAATTCTTTAACACCAGTACGATATTCTCATTTCCTTGTAATCGAAATTGAAACATTTTAAACATTAAATTCTTAAACTTCTTTACTGAAAAGTCAACATGGGAAAACGGCATTTTTGTTAAAATTTTAATAATAAAAAAAAGCGGAAATATTCAAACCCAAGATTGCTTTTTTTAACCGCCAGATTTAAAAGTTTATGAAAAGATTTAATTTTTGCATTGGCATGCAAAATTTTGTTTTTGATAAAATACTTTAAAAAGAAAATATGAAAACAAAAAATCGACAAAAAAAAGGCCCGGGGTTTTTAATGAAACGCAAAACATTTTTTTACATCATTTTTAAAACTCATAAATTCAGTTTTAAAAAAAGGAAAAAAAATTTAATGGGAAAATCTAAAATTTTGTTAAAAAAAAATAATGACAAGTTTTTAAAGTTTTTTAATATATACGATTTATTATATATTAATGTTGTACGCTGTCTTGAAATTTCGTGTCATAACTGACGTAGAAAGATTAATGATCTACATTTTTTATATTTATATATTTGTTTTTTAATCCATTGACATATAAGATGTTTTCGTAACAAATAATGTTACCTAACATATCTAACGTAAAAGAATGCCGCGATTGACGATTATAAGTTAACACTAGAAGTTAAATAAGTACAATGACGACAATGCATAGTCATAGATAAATTAACAGGGGGAAAGTTGGGGTGCGGTTTGTTGTACAGGTGTGACATGTAACCTAATTGATACCGTCTGAACTTTATAGTTGTAGCAAGTGCCAAATTATTTCGTTACAGCTACGATGCGTGCTCAATTGCGACATCGAACATGAATTTACGTATACTATTCTGATTGTTCACCTCTATAACTAGTGACATTCTTTTCAGTTTCATGCACTTTGACCTCATATAAAAGTCCAGCTGTAAGTTGTTCAGCCATTCTTTCCCAAATATAAACTGCAATATTCTCCGCTGTGCTGACTTTATCTTTAAAATAGTCAACGTCAAAATCCAAATTTTTATGATCAAGTGTTGACATAAACGCTTTTTGCATGCAAGCTTTCAGATCTGTTAGATTTAGCACCATTCCGGTCACAGGGTCAACAGGACCACGAAGAGTCACCTCGACTTTATAGTTATGGCCATGTCCGTTTGGATTATTACATTTACCAAATATTTTCTGATTTTCCTCGGCTGAGAGTTTTTTGGAATGAAGACGATGACATGCGCTGAAACAATCACTACGGGAGATATAGACGATCGGTTGCTTTTTTCCGGGATACATTATTACTCTGGTTTAAAATCTGAAAACATATGATTGACAAAAGGTATCAAACATGTATCTTTAAGTATGAATAGTTTGTGATAGCGTATAACATGCATATTACACTTCATTAAGTTGAGTTTCATAAAAATATAAATGTGAAGAGACTCTTTCCATTAAGACCGGAAACTTATTGTAGCCTTTAAATGATGGCATGGGGGTACGGCGGACATTGCCTATACAACTTAGTAATTCTCAATAAATTCAAAATCTAAATCCTTACTCGTGTTAGATGCGTTATATATTCCCGCAATGTTGTTTTATTGAACAAGAAAGTACAAATAAATGAAACGTTCAACATAATAATCACACGTCAGTTTCATTACTAGATCATGGTCACCTGTAAATTATAAAACATGTCAAATCTTGCTTTACCACATAGCTAAATTGTTTTGCTAATATCCACATAGCGATAGCTATTTGGTACGGAAACGTATTATGACCCCCATCATATTTGGGGCCATATTGTTGATTTTTGTATCATTTTATTTATTGGCATCTATTTAAAAAATAAATCAACAATTGCGATTGAATAACAGTTAAGAAAAGTTTCAGCCTATATTCAAGGAAATTTATATTTGACATGATATTTATAATTCGTATTTGTATTTAAATTCGTATTCGTATTTAAACCAATACAAATAAAGAGTGTTTACTAGACTTCAAATATTTTGCAAAATATATCATGTATAGCTCATTGTGATGGTGCAGATTATTTCCTACCCGCGAAAAATATTGAAGAGAGCGGAAAATGTTTTTCCTTCTAGGTACATGTATTTTCTTCTTTAAGTATCATCATATATTAACATCATGTATAAGCAGAATAAATACTGTAAACAAACTTTTAAAAACGATTTTAACGTTATCCAAACATATTTAAATTTTTAATTTAATTTCATTTCCATACTTTTTATTTAACAAATATCAGTAAATATACGTACAGTCATGTGTATATAATCAGTTATAAAATTTATTTGCATGATATGACATGTTTCAATATTCTTAATTTCATCAGTTAATTGTTAACAATAATAGACTAAATATACATCAACAAAATATGCGTTAGATATTGTCTTATTTACGAATACGATTAATTCCTGCACAATTTCTACATGAAAAGATAAATATCGCTTTAGTTTTAACATATTTTTATTTCAATATTTTACAAATATTACATTTTATACAGATTATACTTTATTTTGCGATATATGGCCACCAGACAATACACATGTACACATAGACAGAATGTACGTTCAAATGATACAAACTATATGTATATATTTGATACATAAAATTGATAGAGATTAGAACGAAAGAAAACTTCTATAGTTACTTTCCCTAAAATTCACTTTAAAGCTATCACAATGAGAACAATGAATTTTGCATTAGATATAATAGTCTTGCTGAAGGCTTGTAACAGTATCATTCAAAGTAATATTTACTTTCATATCATTGTTATCAAGTATAATTTAATTAGCACTGTTCATAGAATAACATATCTAGACATGGTATTTTCAAAAGATACAAATTAATATTTAGGCGACTGTTATATCATATCATCTATGTGTAGTGAAGTAGATATATCCATAGTATCGCTTTGACGAAATACAGTTGCAGATGATTTTAAATATAGACCCTTTCATTTAAGCGATAAGTGTTAGGAAGAGTTACTTCCCATACCGGATGTGACGTAAATAGGGGATTATTCTATACAGACCGTTTCGAATGTAACGTACTCGAAGCTTAAATGTTCACTTGATAATATAAGATTAAAAAATTGACTGACGCATACATAACTTCTATATCAAGACAATAAAAAAAACAAAAGTTTAGATTTATTCTTGCAATAAATTGCAGTTATGCTATAATTTCAATGGTGAATATTTGACGAATTTTATGCCATGTTTTTGCAATGGCAAAAAACTATTAACTGAATCAAATTTTTTATGATTTAGATAATACTTCCATACACAAACTGAAATTACGGGACATAAGATTAAATTGTTATTTTCTAGTTTTCTTTGCAATTTTCTCTCATTGAGAAGAAAGACAGCGTTTATGTGACAAACACGATTATCAATGCATTTTAAATGATTTTTCTTTCCAAGCTTACGAACAGTAGGACAGATGGACAATACATTTCTGAGGGTTTGTGGTAAGTAATTATTGATTTTTTTTCATTATGCCTTTTAAAAATCACACACAGAACCAGTGATGAATATTCTTTATATAAACGTTCTTGAACGAACGAAAACCATGAGGCAATGACTTTAATATTCATAACAGACGATAATATTATAAACATATTCTTATAATTACAAAAATAAAATAACTTTTCCTAGTGCAAGTATTTTCACAATTTTTATTGAAAATGGTTAAATCTATTTGTTGTAATAAATTGCTGAATTCGAATATTTATGTTATTTAAAATGACTCTCTGGGATTTTGCAGACGTATTTATTATATTATAATTAATGCTGTCGCGGAACTTATTTTTAAAAAGACCTGTATCTTTTTTAAAAGCGCCGCTGGGCTGTAACATTACAAATTAAATGGGTGCATATGTTAATCATACAAGCGCACTGGACTGTAATATCATAAATAACCATGGTGCACATGTGATAACGTCACTTATGTAAGTTGTTTAAATTATGAGCCGAATTTGGTAAAGACTCATCCCAGGGGCGTTATTACCAAAGAATGACTACCAACTGGCATAAATATAGTTGGCACATACATTATTATTTTTATTATTATTATTATTATTATTAATTATTATTATTCAGTTGTTAACGAAATTTGTACTTTTTTCTCTCCTTCTTTGAAACTTTAGTGAAAAAAAAATCTTTAAAATATTTGATTTATTAGCTTTTATAAAATATGCTATACGATTTAATGACAGTGCCTCTTTTCCGTCACAAATTGTATACATTTCAAAGAATTGTTACTTTTATGCATTAACATTTTTGTTTAGATTTTAAGAATTGCTTTTTTAGTTTGAGTATGGAGAGCCTGTCATATTGTAATCAAAATTTACTGTTTATTATTAATCATTACACCGCCTTTTTTTCGAAACAACGGAAATACGCATATTTTTAAACTCAAAGTAGGGTGCCTTCGAATCAGTAAGTAAGAACGATTCATCTGCCTGGTAAAACATGGTGTCACATTTTTACAATATTTAGATATTGGACATTTTTGTCCCATTTTACGTTCAATCCACGATTCGATCGAAAATGGTAACCACGATACCAGGCACTATAAGCCATAATCTAGTATTGAAGTTAACGTGATAAAAATATTTTGGTAAAGAACATTATTCATTTGACAATCCTATAATGAAATGTCTTATTTTATTACCAAAACTTCGACTCCTTCAATCTGCTCATCTTACAAGAGTAAGGATATAGATCTTTATATCCCTTTATCAATGTACTTAACCGTATCGGTAATGTTTGTCGTATCACACAATAGCGCCATCAAAGGCCGACAACATAAATCCGGTCTTAAATCAAAAGTTCTATAAACTAACTGTCTTTCAAAGCTAATTAATATTTTATTCTGCCACATTAAACAACCCTAGAACACTCACCTAGGATCCGCTGCAGGAAAGTTGCCATAATTCTTTAATACAGCAGAAAGATAAGATCATGTTACGAGTATCATTTTTTCATCATATACAGTTATGATTTATGAACTATTTGTAAAGGTTCGCTTCAAATATCTAGGCACTATGAATTGTTTCCGAACGAAGATTCATATTGTTTTATTCCTATACGAGTCCATTCCTACTCAATGATTTGACTCACTGCAATAATTCATAATTTTTATAGAATATCACAAGGTGATGACGTTATTTTGCTCTGGGCACTGTAGTTTCATAGATGAATTTTAAGACAGTTTTAAGTCAATGAAACCTAAGTTCATCCCAGGGAAAGGCATTTTAGACTGCAGGAGCTTGATTGAAAGGCCTGTCACTAAGAGCACTTATATTTTTAAGACTTGTATAGAGAACTAGATGTAAGTCCTCTTTTGGAGAACTTCAATGTCTAGAGCTTTTTCCGCCACCTAGTGTACATAGATTGTACATAATAAAATGTAAAAAGCAGAATGCACAGAGCATTGACTTGTACAGGAAAACACATGTAAATATTCTAGTGTTAAACTATAATGACAAGAAGTAAGATATTTAGGATATTGCATGATACAAAATCATTCCCAGCAAAAGATATAAGGTGCGTGATCTAGGATCATCATTATCCTCTTATTGAAGGAAAAAAGCAGATATAAATTGTTTATGAAAAAACAGTTATTTTATAGTTTATCTTATCAGAACACTGTATGTAGGTCAGGCGATTTTAGGCGTATCACTAAGTTTATATGAATTCGTAAAGAAATAAAGTGAAACGATACTTGAAATTTTTCTGAGAAACTTGACATTTAGCTTGTTGAATTAGGGCATCCGAATACAAATATTTCACAAATCATGTATGTTTGGACAAAATTGATACGATTAATATGATCTTATTACTGATTTTTATGAAAGAATTGTGACTCTTTTCCAACAATGGATCTAAGGTGCGTGGTTTAGGGTCATCATAAGAGATATAAATAATTTATGAAATACAGTTATTGTATATTTCAAATCATCAAACCTGTTTGCAGGTCAGGCAGTATCATTGATAAATATATTACTACACGCAGATGAGATGATGTGACAATAGCCTTATATTTACTATTTTTTTAAGTATCGAATGCAAAATCATTATTCCATTGGGCTAGCTTTAAAGCCATTTTTATGCTTTCAAAATAAAATTGTGAAAGAGTTGATAATATGCTTTTAATTCACTACCTTTATACTATACATACATGTACATGTCTGCTATTTAAAGCACGTTTGTTGATTTATTGCCTTTTTATATATCTTTACAATTAACAATTAATAAATAATATCAAAGATAGTGAAACAAGTAA